CCTCCGGCTAGATGGATAAATACAAGGGATTTGACTACCCTTCACCTCAGATCAAAAGAGTGTGCCAGGGAGCGGGAACTGTCTGTGTTATTGTCGAAAATAGTTTGGATATATCACTGTAACTATCAATTATAATCGTTCTTAACCATGTAGGGTGGTTCCGGTACATTTAAGTCTTATAAAACACAGAGGCATTCTAGTTTGGTTCACGAGACTATATTATTTGGATAAAAATAGAGTAGGATTAATAAACTCAGTGATAGATATTGATTTATTTTATTTTTTTTATAAACAGCTCACAAAAGATCTGTTAAAGTGACAGTAAAGAAGTTAATGTGACAGTTGTGGGCGCGAGATTGTGTCGGTAGTGACAACGGATAATCCACGTTGCATCACCTTTTGGTAACGAAAGAGCCATCGTCCTCAACACACTACTGAACAAACCATACCAGTATATATCTCGCCTATAAACTACAAACATTAAATTTTCAATCTGCATGTACGCCTGGACTACTTGAAGACATATACTCCAGGACTATTTCACGACATTTACACCAGGACCTTATAAAGAAATTTACCGCAGGACTACCCATAGGTATATACAGCAAGATTATTCTACGAAATATACCACGAGGCTAATCTTCAATTTATGTACCACGAGGCCACTCTACGCCACAGATGCTAGAAAGTATTTATATACTGTACAACCTACAAGGCATTTCTCCATGACTCAGAAGTAGAAAGCAACACTGCGACTCAGTAGACCAATCAGCGTTCTTAACCCCTTATGTAATCATTCTCTTTGCTGAATAAAATCATCTTGCGCTGGCCAAGTAAAATATTAAAAGTGGGGTCCCTGTAGTGTAGGTGTCAATCCAGAATTTTTAGTGAAAAACCAAGAATCAGTTTACGGTATTTAGTCCCGCAATATTTATTTATTTTATTTATTTATATTTTTTTTTTTGCTTTTAACTTCACTCGGATTTCATGAAACTTTAGAAACCCACTTATTTTACCTGATGATTAAACACCTGAATGCTAACCTAACCAAACATATTTTAACTTAATCTGACCGAACACAATCGAACCTAACATAACGTAACGTAACATAACACAGCCTAACCTAATCTAACATGACCTAACCAAAAATAAAGCTAACATAACAACATAACATAATAACACAACCTAGCCTAACCTAACCTAACCTAACCTAACCTAACCATAAGCACTATTTTACGTTCGGGTGATTAATCATTAGATGGAATAAGTTGGTACTCCAAATCATTCTAAGATCCAGTGATTCATTGCCTGAAGAGCTCTCAGTCAGGTCAGTTACCACAGTATCTCCCACGGGTGTCATAGCACTGTACTCCCACCATAAAAAGTCCCGTTAGTCCACCCTCCCATCCATGAGTCTCAGGGTTCAAAGATTCACAGGTTCATGAGTCTCGGGGTTCATAGAGTCACTGGTTCATGAGTCTCAGGGTTCACAGGTTCATGAGTCTCGGGGTTCATAGAGTCACTGGTTCATGAGTCTCAGGGTTCAAAGATTCACTGGTTCATGAGTCTCGGGGTTCATAGAGTCACTGGTTCATGAGTCTCAGGGTTCATAGATTCACTGGTTCATGAGTCTCAGGGTTCATAGATTCACTGGTTCATGAGTCTCAGGGTTCATAGATTCACTGGTTCATGAGTCTCAGGGTTCATAGATTCACTGGTTCATGAGTCTCAGGGTTCAAAGATTCACTGATTCATGAGTCTCAGGGTTCATAGATTCACTGGTTCATTAGTCTCAGGGTTCATAGATTCACTGGTTCATGAGTCTCAGGGTTCATAGATTCACTGGTTCATGAGTCTCAGGGTTCATAGATTCACTGGTTCATGAGTCTCAGGGTTCATAGATTCACTGGTTCATGAGTCTCAGGGTTCATAGATTCACTGGTTCATGAGTCTCAGGGTTCATAGATTCACTGGTTCATGAGTCTCAGGGTTCATAGATTCACTGGTTTAGTTTTGATATGATTACGTAATTTCTCTCATTGTAATTGACCTTGGTTATAGGTATTTAAATTAGGGTGAAATGTTGGGACACTAATTGACCTCAGCTCTGCAGTTGTAATCTGTTTGATCTCATCGGTAATAACTTATTACACAACGTGTAGGTGGAGGGAATATTCCAGGTAGTTTCCTCATTATAATGTAACTTGGTTAATTGGTCCTTGATGGTGAATGAGATGTGTCACAGTTGTTATGTTTCTCCCATAAGTGACTCACACAACACTAGTCAACCATACGCTTCAAAATCAAGTAATGGCTGGTCTCATAACCTAACCTAACGTATCCATAAATATTGACATTTTCGTAGGAACAATATTGGTGTAGACTACGTTTATAAGAGTATATCACGTCACTCACGACTACTATATAGTTCATGTAGGAATGAACTCCACAAGGCATCATATATTGCGGTCATGTCAGTCTTCGGATATTGTATTAAAATTTGTCCCTCTTGTTATAGTCCTTATTGAGTTATCATCACATTATCCCGTCACCAAGTGTTATTTCAGCGACTGATAACTGTGTTACCACCTGGTACTGATGGTCTACTGTCCACTGTCAGTATCATTCATCTGCAGTGTGTTGGTTATGTATTGTAAGGCTTTATATAGTGTCTTAAATGATTCATATAACTATATCACCTGTTGTATTCTGTCTTGCTTTGTTATTTGGGATGCAGTAGTGTTATGTACACAATTTATCAGCGATAGTTTTTCTATTTTACACAGAATTATTGTTGTCTGTGTTGTCACTTTAATCATTATTGTTACTTCTAATATTATAATTATGACTACAACAACTTGTCTTACAGAGGCGGGTTAACTTGTCACTGTATGTGTCAATAATTGTGAGCAAGTGTTTGGGTGTTTTCTGGTGTGTTTAGGCGTCATGAGACTACTGTATTTCTCTTTCTCTCCAGCTCATATTACTCAAGAGGTGTTCAGAAGAATCCAAACTTGGTTATATCGTTGCCCTGAACACTTCAAAGACAAAGTATATCTCGTGTGGGTTTTATCATAGCGCCAATTCATCTTGCATTTCTCTGTCAGAGCCTCGTTTGAACTAACAATTCTTCTAATATGTATTAGATTACGTGTAATGTCTGTCTGTTTGTCCGAAAGCCAAACAAGGTGGCCCTAATTTTTGGGTTCTATACAAATGCATTAATTGACAGATGCCTCTGCTATTTAACTTTAAAACTGCTGCATATAACGCGAGTCTTTCCTGAGAACTAGAAGGTTGCTGTCAAGATTAATACCAACATGACCCCTGGCAACAGGAAGAAGCAGCTCTGAAAACCAAGGCGCCATCTTTTGTTTATGTTGGTAACTTTACGGGCTATTTAGGTGTTGGAGGCAAGGAAGAGCAGGTGGCTGGGGAGAGTGAGGTGCGGCCGCGTTCCGGCGCCCCTCGCCCGGGATATCACAGTGTTGGCACCTCGAGCCCCACACCCCCGTCTGCAGTAAAATATTTGTAAATAAAAAATTACAGATTATATAATAGGAAGTGCACCATGACACGCAGCCTTAGTTTGAAGGTATAGCTAAATCTGTGCAAATATTTGTATAATAGTCCACACACACACACACAGCCAACGAGGCGAGTCAGACTGTAATGAAGAAATGGGGAGCATACAGTCGTCGAGGCCTTACGAGGTGACGTGTGCCAGGCAACCTCCATCACCTAGGCTTCTACCCTATCTCCACCACCTAGGCCCCCACCCCATTTCCACCACATAGTCTCCCACCCCATCTCCACCACCTAGGGTCCCATTGTCGGCACTTTTAAACAGGGCATAATTTTCCTTCCGTGAATTAATAATCCTTCAAGAGGGTCGTGTATATACCTTCTAATAGTTTGGAGAAGATATTATAGCCAGTGTGGAGACTATTACTTCATATATCTGTAGGGTTGAAAGTCACATCTATCACAACCTATTAACCAATTAATTAACGTTATTTTCTTTATTCAGTTCGGTAGTGGGGCTTCCTGCTTGAATTTTACAATGACTTTAGAGTACAATTATCAGATATTGCCCAGCCATTACATTAGCTGTTTATAAGTTAAGAGGGAAACTCTTAACTTTGAATCAATTATTTAGACAAATTTTTAGACCTGAAACTGATGTTAGAATTTATACCTGAATTCATTGTAATCCAATGAGGAAATACTTGTTACATTCTCGGCCTTCACTTTACCTGCAGGGAACTGAGCGAGATTCCTGACTTATAGTTTTTGCTTACTGTACGTCTCTAATTGTCTTAATTCACGATACATAACAAATAAAATAGAATTAAGAGTGGTGGTGAAAGAACTCAGTAGTTATATGTAACAACATTTACTTCCATTTGATCTCTGTCTTCTTTTATTTAATGGTATGGACCCCCAAATCACAATAAGTAGTGGTACACTATTTATCTCTGGTGTGTAATTCTATAATTATGTATTCACTGTCGAGACACTTGTACTGTGTATGTATACGTAAATATACGCTCAACAAAAGTGGACAAAATACAATTATATTCGCAAAATAACAAATCTGCAGCTGATACATATATCCCACCCAAAATATCCTCCACTAGGCTGGCCCCTTCCACGCCCTTTGTTGAGGCGGACAAGTTGTCATAGCGACGCGACGCGACGCTTGGCTGGCTGCCCGACGCTACACGTGGGAATCATTCCGCATCACCAATTTTCTCATGAAGCTCTTACGTTCATTATAGACTTATATCGTTAACAGATTCTTTTGAACGTTTGTTATCCACATATTCGTTTACTTATCAATTGTGCCGGATCCTATACGGCCCTAATCTTGATATTTTATGATTTTTCTACCAAACCTGAGCTTAGATTAATTCATCATCTTGGTTATACGTATGATATTGAATCCAGACTGTATATGAGGTGAAGGATTAGGGTGAGAGAAAGGCGATTGGACGTACCTCCAGACGCGATACATTACTGATGTCTGTGATGTACTCGATAGTAACATTGCTTTCATCGGGAGCTGTTCCAGTTCTGTAGGAATAAGTCTTGGAAGCTACTTTCTTGGAGCTGGAGCAGACCATTTGAGTGGAAGAGCTGGAAGACATCTTAGAAATTTTGCTTGAGGATGAGACAACCGCCTTGGAAGCCATATTTGCGGTTTTCGGAGGAAACTCAGATCAGACACACACACACACACTATGAACAAGCCAGATGGCGCCGGGGGTTCTACGAGACACGAAGCGGCCACACACACACCGTCTGCTAGCTCCGCCTGGCCAGAACTCCAAAGAGACTGAACCCCAAAGATAGTTGTTCATGCCTTAAATTCTCCTTCAGATGTCGCTAGTGTCCGTAGCTCAAGTTACTAAAGAAAGCGGGCCACCTACACCATTTATAGCCATGACACCCGAGTTTTCCCGAGCCCACCCGAATGACTACGAACGAAAACGGGAACAAATTCGCTTTTTCTCGTTTAATGGTCAGTTGAAATAACAATGCCCATAGCAGCAGCAGTGAACAGGCGTGTGCCCCTACGGCCACAGGTGCCGTCACAGTTTGCCTTAAGTGTTACTACTGCTGATCAAGAGTCTTAGGTCTCATATATCTCATTAGCTATGTTGTTCTGAAAAGTAAGGGGGACTGAAGCAGAAATAGTCGTCGTTAGTAGAGTGTTTATCAGGGTACTGTCGCTCGTAGGCCCCGCCCCCAGCCTCTCATGCCACACACATTCACACTTTAGCTCAGCAGTGCAAAAAATAGATCGTGGACAAAATGAAGACCCACGAAGACAGTTTCCCACACCAACAATAGCCTGTGGTGTTTTGTTCCTTGGTAAGAGCGGTAATGTGGTGAGTCAGCGGTGACCAGTATACCCACAACGGTGAGTCAGCGGTGACCAGTATACCCATAACGGTGAGTCATCGCTGACCATTACACCCTTAACGGTGAGTCATCGCTGACCAGTATACCCATAACGGTGAGTCATCGCTGACCAGTATACCCATAACGGTGAGTCATCGCTGACCATTACACCCTTAACGGTGAGTCATCGCTGACCAGTATACCCATAACGGTGAGTCATCGCTGACCAGTATACCCATAACGGTTGAGTCATCGCTGACCAGTATACCCATAACGGTGATCATCGCTGACCATTACACCCTTAACGGTGAGTCATCGCTGACCAGTATACCCATAACGGTGAGTCATCGCTGACCAGTATACCCATAACGGTGAGTCATCGCTGACCAGTATACCATAACGGTGAGTCATCGCGACCATTACACCTTAACGGTGAGTCATCGCTGACCAGTATACCCATAACGGTGAGTCATCGCTGACCATTACACCCTTAACGGTGAGTCATCGCTGACCAGTATACCCATAACGGTGAGTCATCGCTGACCAGTATACCCATAACGGTTGAGTCATCGCTGACCAGTATACCCATAACGGTGAGTCATCGCTGACCATTACACCCTTAACGGTGAGTCATCGCTGACCAGTATACCCATAACGGTGAGTCATCGCTGACCAGTATACCCATAACGAGTCATCGCTGACCAGTAGTATACCAGTATACCCATAACGGTGAGTCATCGCTGACCAGTATACATAACGGTGAGAGTCGCTGACCAGTATACCCAACGGTGAGTCATCGCTGACCAGTATACCCATAACGGTGAGTCATCGCGACCAGTACCCATAACGGAGTCATCGCTGACCAGTATACCCATAACGGTGAGTCATCGCGCCAGTATACCCATAACGGTGAGTCATCGCTGACCAGTATACCCTTAACGGTGAGTCATCGCTGACCAGTATACCCACATAACGGTGAGTCATCGCTGACCAGTATACCCATAACGGTGAGTCATCGCTGAACAGTATACTCATAACGGTGAGTCATCGCTGACCAGTATACTCATAACGGTGAGTCATCGCGTGCGCATAACGGTCATCGCTGACCAGTATACTATAACGGTGAGTCATCGCTGACCAGTATACCCATAACGGTGAGTCATCGCTGACCAGTATACCCATAACGGTGAGTCATCGCTGACCAGTATACCCATAACGGTGAGTCATCGCTGACCAGTATACCCATAACGGTGAGTCAGCGGTGACCAGTATGCCCATAACCGTGAGTCATCGCTGACCATTATAACCATCTCATTATCTATAACATACATATTATAAACTATCTACGTTCACCTAACTGTGAGACGTTAGCATCATGATGTGTTACAAGGACAGAAGGGCAGAAAGGGTACTGTTATTGCCAAGATGACGTGGTGGTGGTGGTGGTGGAAGCGGTGGTGGTGGTGGTGAGCGGTGGTGCTGTAGTGGTGGTGGTGGTGGGAGCGGTGGTGGTGGTGGAAGCGGTGGTGGTGGTGGTGGTAGCGTCATAGTTGTTATTTCTGGCTGTCATGTGAAGCAGCCAACAGTCTCACCAGGTGACTCGAGTCTCATTACAACAGAACGTTGCCATACTGCTGCCACCATCACCACCACCATAATAACTACCACCATCACCACCATAATAACTATCACCATCACCACCATAATGACTATCACCAGCATCACCATAATAACTATCACCATCACCACCATAATGACTATCACCATCATCACCATAATAACTACCACCATCACCACCATAATAACTACCTCCATCATCACCATAAGAACTAAGACCATCACCACCATAATAACTACCTCCATCATCACCATAATGACTATCACCATCACCACCATAATGACTATCACGATCACCACCATAATAACTACCACCATCACCACCATAATAACTACCACCATCACCACCATAATAACTACCTCCATCATCACCATAATAACTATCACCATCACCACCATAATGACTATCACCACCACCACCATAATGACTATCACCATCACCACCATAATAACTACCACCATCATCACCACAATAACTACCACCATCACCACCATAATAATCATCACCATAATAACTACCACCATCACCACCATAATATCTTCCACCATCACCACCACAATAACTACCACCATCACCACCATAATAATCATCACCATAATAACTACCACCATCACCACCATAATTAACTTCATCACCATAATAACTAGCACCATCACCACCATAATAACTACCACCATCATCACCATAATAACTACCACCATCACCACCGTAATAACTACCACCATCATCACCATAATAACTACCACCATCATCACCATAATAACTACCACCACCATCACCACCATAATAACTACCACCATCATCACCATAATAATCACCACCACCATCATCACCATAATAACTACCACCATCATCACCACCATAATAATCATCACCATAATAACTACCACCATCACCACCATAATAATTCCATCAACATAATAACTACCACCATCTCCACCATAATAACTACCACCATCATCACCATAATAACTACCACCATCATCACCATAATAACTACCACCATCACCACCATATAGACTATCACCACCACCACCATAATGACTATTACCATCACCATCATAATGACTACCACCATCATCACCATAATAACTACCACCATCACCACCATAATAACTTCCATCACCATAATAACTACCACCATCACCACCATAATGACTATCACCATCACCACCATAATGACTATCACCATCACCACCATAATAACTACCACCATCACCACCATAATAACTACCACCATCATCACCATAATAACTACCACCATCACCACCGTAATAATCATCACCATCACCACCATACGATTACCACCATCATCACCATAATAACTACCATCACCACAATAACTAACACCATCATCACCATAATAACTACCACCACCATCACCACCATAATAACTACCACCATCATCACCATAATAACTACCACCACCATCATCACCATAATAATCTACCACCATCATCACCACCATAATAATCATCACCATAACTAACTACCACCATCACCACCATAATAATACCAATCTCCACCATAAATTGTCTACCACCATCACCACCCACAACTACCACCATCACCAATAATCACCACCATCTCCACCATAATAACCACCACCATCACCATAATAACCACCATCTCCACCTCCACCATAATAATTCACACCACCATCACCACCATAATAACTACCACCCACCATCCACCATAATAAACCACCACCATCACCACCATAATAACTACCACCATCACCACCATAATAACTACCACCATCACCATAATAACCACCACCATCACCACCATAATAACCACCACCATCACCACCATAATAACTACCACCATCACCATAATAACCACCACCATCACCACCATAATAACTACCACCATCACCACCATAACTATCCTCGTAATTAAGGATTTATGAGAATATTTCAAGAAATGTGAGACCAGTTAATTATCAGTCTAAGTTTGGGCCGGGGAATACCTGACTATTTTCCCTCAATTTAATTTTCTTTTGTTTCTCTGGTCAAAAGATTCACCTCAGTATTTATATAAACATGTCATGTCGTGAAGGTACATTTGCTAGCAAAAGTCCTCCCACAAACTTGTTACACAGGGCTGCAGGAGAACTTTTGCTGGTAACTTTACATAACGTAACCTGTAAATACCACCTAGAAAACGACTTGTTTTTCCTACTTTTCTTGTTAAAATCCAATTACTGTATAAGCATTAAAGTGTTACAAAGTATTCATCTACTTTGGGGTAATACTATGAGTTGTATCATTGAGAATAATTTGGGAAGAGTGTGTGTGTGTGTGTGTGTGTGTGTGTGTGTGTGTGTGTGTGTCCTATATTTCTCCCATCAGTAAGACAGTAGTCATTGTATACAGGTGATAAATCCTGGCAATGGTTCAGGCGCTTGGCTTCAGGTATAAAATCAGTGCTGGTGTTATGAGGTGGGTTTTGTTTTAGTGTCGTATTGAATAATGTATCAGCCGGGTTTGTTCTGTTTCATGAGTGAGTCACTGTTTTTTTGAGCCAATGTTTTTATTAGTAAAAGAGACGCATATTTATTTACAAAAGTGAATATCATCAAAGAAAGTCATATTGTTCTTCTAGTTTACAGAAATGCCAATTTCTGCATCTGACTGCATGGAAGGAATTTCCATGTGTATGACACTGTCAACGTACAGGCAAGAATAATTTCCGGCGTGCGGTCCGCCAACACCCAGGGAATGGGTCGTGCATACATTACTGTAATACTCTGAAACCCAACTTTGTCGCAGAATACAACTTGAGCCTTAAACATCTTGACACCCAAACCTTA